GACGCCCGTCATGCTGCGGATGGCAACACACCAGTTGCTCCCAAAACTGGCTTGCAGCAGAAAAGTGGGCCAGTCTGGTCTCAACGGACAATGCTGACTTAGCCAGTAAGCAAAGGAGCAATATCTTACCATAGATTAACTAAGAAGGGGTGCTCCAGGCCCTGCATAATCTGCAGCTCCTTGAAAACATTTCTCACTTCATTACGCTCCACGCACTTCTGTTTATTCATGTATTTCATGGCATACATCTTCTTGGTGTCGTTTTTTTGCACAACGCAGACCTAAGTGAGCAAATAAAGGCATAAATCAGAGACGATTTGTCAGCAAATCTACGCAGGTAAAACATGGTCACACGAGCGTTCTCCAGTGGCTTTAGCAAAGTCCACGCCGCCAAGTCACAACTCCATGCACTGACGCTGCAACGCTGGACATCACCAGTAAATCCCTCACCCAGTTTTCAGCCAAAGAAGAAATTTTGCTAAGGGGAAGGTGAGGGGAAGGAATTTATCACCACAAAGATAGGAGACAGGGAATCGCACACGAGTCAACATTTTATTTAATAGCACTAACTAATCTTGGTTGTGTCCATCCCTCCCACATCAGTTACTGTTCGCAAGAGTCCTTTCCACTACAGGTTAGGAACTGGGGAGCAGCACCTGATCTCCCCCTTCTTGATAAGTTTTGTTCAGCTCACAAAGAACCTTGGGCTTTGTTGGAGGGGTATTGGGGTTTGAATTTTAACCCTTCTTACAGTTATATTTCATCAAATCTAGAAAGAAATGTTGCTTCAGTGAAAGACTCAGAGTTTGTAAAACTGCAAAACAAAACAGACTGCTTTTTCAGATTTGTTTCCACAACAGTTTATGAGTTTGGGATGAATCTGCCAAGTTTCAGTCGACCTTTTTTGTTTCGCCACCGAATAAATCTCTTTGTCTAGAGATCTTTGTCGCACTCTGCACCTAAGACACACCCCGTTACTGGCATGAGAGTGCCTTTATGTGAAGAGGCAAATGACCTTCTGGAATTCCGTCAACGTATACAAGCGTGGAATTCCATAACAGCATAATATGACTGTAACCTGATGCTTAATAACAAAAAATGTGTTCCACAGAGAAATATCCCCTTAAAAAAATCGCCAGGCCTTTCATGTTGATTGTAGTTCTGTATTAAAGATGCATCATAACGTTCAGTGTTGCTTCGCTGAGGAATCTTAGAAATGCTTATCCAGAAACATAATGAAATTCAGCTCATTTGATTTACCAGTATCTCATTTTAATCTCCTGTAATACAATTCGTGGCTATGGCATGGATGAGGAATCGGGCTGTGATTCCTTCTTGATTATCAGGAGTTGAAGCTCAGGTCAAAGCTCACTGACAATGCAGGGGTTTATTTCTTTATTCTCATGTGAGCCTCTAATTTGCCCATTGCTCAGTTACATTTCCAGCCATCCAAATGGTGATTAGTTCACAAAATACTTACTTTTCCAAAGCTGCCCTTCCCAATAGCTCGCAAAATTTCAAAATGGTCGAAGGTGACTGCAAGAAAGAGCAAACATGCAGACATTAAATGGCTGAGCAACCATTTGATCATATTACATTATTTTTACACTTTTTTCCTTAAGATAAGAGCTGAGAAAAACGAGCAATTTTCTATTGCTTTTGGAGATTTGGGTGCTATTTAAAACTTGGTGTTTAACAGGCTTTTTTTCTTTCCAGCTCAGCTGCAAAGGCAAGTTCCCTGGGTCAGTCTTTGTTAATGGCAGATCAGGCAAGGAGCCATCAAGTGAATGTTTTCGCTCTGCCCTGCCTGTTAAACATGAAAGTCTCATCTTATTCCTGATGAAACCAAATGCAAAGAAGTTTAGTCCATCAAACGTTTATACCATGTGAAGACATAAATGGGCAGCTGGATCTTCATATCCTTGTTGTATTCTAGACAACCGTTCGATAACTGTGCAAGATAAACACAGCAACCCTGGACGCAAGCTTCGCTGCCACTCACCATCCAGAATGGCTGTTTCTGCTCAGAAGGGAAACAGAAGAGCAGCGGCTTTGCAGACCGTGCATTGAAACAGGGAGGGAGGAACGTGAACGTGCATTTCACTTCCCCCTCTGGCTGGAGATGGGCTGGGAGGTGGGCATCTGCACAGCAAGGGAGAATGTTTTGTAAGTGCTTATCTGAAGGGCCCTACATATCAAGTGTTTCTGATCAGCCAGGACGAAGCTGCCTGTGTTTCATCTCAGGCAATAAATAGATCCACAGAAACAGCAAATCAAATGAGCATACAGCAAACACAGATTAACTGTACTGGGTTCAAACCCTGCTGCCGATTGCTAGATGAGGTACCACAGCAATGATTACAGAGTTGAATGCTCTGAATCCTGCTAACCCTCCTCCAAGACGCTGGTGCAGCAGCGCTGTGCCCAGGTTCGGCTCTCAGAAATACCTGTCCTTTGTAACCCCCAGCCTCCCAGGAGGTCTGCGTGGGGCTATTACCGTCACTACCCTATGTTAGCACAAACAAGCGGGTGTTCTGCCACCAGACAAGACTTCCCACCGCCTCCAGCACTTTGCTAAACAAGAGGAAAACCTCAAGTCCTCTTTACCTTTCAGCTTCAAGCGAAATAAGAATGAAAGGACTTTCTGTACAAAGAAGCAGAGTTATGCCTGCTCTAGTCCGCTGACAGCAGCCTCGGACACCCGTAGGTGCCCTTCCAGCCGCGGTCTGCAGCTCCAGGCTGTCAAACCACAGGCTGGGCTGGGCTACCAAAGCCGACCTGGTGCTCGCTGCCGATGGGGGCTTTCCGAGGCACAGGCTCTAAACGGATGTCTTGCATGAAAGCCCTGCCTGGTAGCTCCATCGGGTGCCGCTGGTGTTGCCCTCTCAGGCTGACCTGAAACACTTCAATTACGTTCGTAGCATCCACAAGAAGACAGGTCTGAGCACGCCGAGCCCCACGGCCCTCTCGCTGTGCCATGGCTCACTGCTCTGGCTCCAGGCTCCGGCTGCAGCAGAGCTGGAGGACTGGACTGTAGCCTGCTCAAATCTTCCCAGACAACTCCTACTGTAACAGAGAGCTCGGACGTACTTGGGCTCCGGCTGTGCCAGGCGCTAAAGCCAGTACTGGACCCACACACCAAGTGTCCGGTCATCTGGGGAGCAAATAGGCGCAGTCACTTTGAAGTCTTGTTTTCACCGAAACACCAGCCCGTGAGCAACTTGTGCTTCAGGCTACAGAGCTTTCCCTCTCTCTGCTTTCTGAGACCACAGGTTGTCTTGAAAAGTGCAGCTCTCGACATAATTGTCATCTGCTGCTTTCTTCATTAACTGAACTGAATGGCACAGAAACCGAGAGGCATTTGTCCCCAGAGCTTTTTATCAGATGAGATTGCCAGCAAGGAAGCTGTTGTTAATCACTCTGCCACAGCAAGAGATGAATCTTCCTCGTTACAGACTTGTGCACGATACCAGTCAGAAATAAACCCATTTTCCTCGGGACACGTCCTGCCTCTAAGCTAATACCAGGATAACAGGACAGACACTTACTAGATCCTTGCCACCACACAACTATAGGGAAGTGTACTCACCCTTTGCTAGTGGATTTTTTTTTTTTTAATTAAATGCATGTATTTTCCAAAGAAATTACCCAGGCAGACTGGGTTTCATTCAGCATAAACATGATGCATGAGGGTCACCAAACTGCCATACAGTCCGCTGAGCCTGCCCAAACTTCCTCCAAAAAAGAGGCTGGAAATAGCCACTGCATACCTGGCCAGGAGCATAATACCCACTGGGTAACCCATTCTCAGAATAATTTTTTAAAACAGGCACACTAAATTAAAAAATGTGTCCTTTTCATTGCCATTGTCTTTTCAGGTAGGATGCCATAATCTAACCAAAGCAAAGTTTATGGTTTCCAGCTATACCACTGGAAAAAAATACTGGCTTTTAGGCAGAGAAGCCCTTTTTCAAACCTGGAACAACAGCTGCAAATACCAGAGCTAAATACAAGTTGATAATGATTGAGTTTAACTAGATATGTTTACCAGTTAGACCATCTGAGAGAAGGATAGTGGATACCTGCAGAATAAAAAGGGAGAGTGAAGATGCTTATCACCTACAGGGAAAAATGAGAGGGGAAAGCAGCCCTCTGTGCCCGCAATGGAGAGAGGTTCGCTGCAGGAGCTACGTGCCGCACAGCGCAGCCCACGACTGCGGGGAGAGGGGAGTCTCAGGTCCCAGGTGCTGGGACCCCGCACAGGGCTCTGCGAGAGGGGGGCAGGCCACGAACCGCAGAGATCCAGCCAGACATTAACATCTGGAACAGCTGCAAATCCACAGGAGTTAAGCCGGCAGCCAGATTTTGCATGTTAACACCCTCTACCTCTATTGTCTTTTAACAGGAATGCTTTCATGAACATGTTAACACCCTCTACCTCCTTGTCTTTTAATATTAATGTTTTCATTAACATTTTAAACAGAGGTCTATAACTGAGCTGGTTGTAAGAAAGCTAAATCGCATACTTTTTATTTAAGACTCTCGAACTAGATACGATCACATTTTAACCTCTCTCTGTTTTAGCTTTCCTACCATCCCCGATTTTCACAGCGAGCCAGTCCAGAGTTTCACTTCCAAAGAGTACTGAAATTTGTGGTGTCCAAATCAGAAACCAAACACATGCTCTTCATCCTGAATCCACATCTACAGATTTGACAAGCCTCATTTCACTGCCCGATGGCATCTAAAACAATGAAAAAGCCAAAGCATTTTCCCTTCAGGGAGAAAATTCATGCAATATGCCAACTCAGACAAATTATGTTTAAGAGATGCCAAGGAAGATAATACAATTGCTATAAAGAACAAACAAGCATAAGCATGAAATATCATTTTGAAAGTAGGGGTTGTATTTCTAAACCCAGGTTCAAGGAACAGTATTTAGATAAAAAATACAGAACCTAACTAGCCATGAAAAACATCCTCACTGGAGACAAGCCAACCCTGCCAAAGCCCCCAGACTCCATCTGCCAAGTGGAAGTCAATGATTCAGGGGGCTCAGGTCCCCCCATCCCTGTCGTCCACCCCAGTAGAGCTAGCACAACACCGCACGGTCTGTTACAATTCGTCTTCCTTTTGTCACTGTAATTTCCCCCATTTTCAATATACTTCTTCCCTCTCTTCCTTCTCGGCTCTGCAGCCTCAGGAAAACAAGTGTTACCACAGGATCAGGAATGCTAATGCAAGTCCTTCCGTATCGGGGAGCCGAACTCAGTGCAGATCCAGGCAGAGGAACAAAGATATATCTAGTGCTCTTCTGAGCCCCGGGGCAATTTAAAGACACAACAGCTGATGGTGGACTAGAGAGGACACTGGCAAAGGACCACGGAATGATGTATGTCCATCTCACCCAGCCATTGTCCTCACCTACTACCTATTTCTGCTTTACCTTTCAACAAATCTGGCCAGCTGGGGAGAATATCTGGCTGCCACCCTCTGGGATGCTTTCCACACCCTTTTGCCCAGAAGCAGCACAAAAAATCTGGCTTTTAAGATGGTCTCATCCTGACTACATCGGGAGGGGAGACCACCTTGCAGCACTGAACCTTCTGTCTGGTTATTACATTTTCTTTTCATCTCACCAGCTTATTATCCACAACTGTGCCTACTCAGAGGAAACGCTGAGAGAAAAATCATGCTGTCATCCCACTTCAGCCGAAGGCAAAGCAAGCCCCTTTGAGAAGGCCATCTCAAAAAAAAAAAAAAAATTCATGGTGCCACAGAAAATAGTCAAATTATAGCAACAGCAATTTGGAAAAATATGCAAGAGGTGCTATCACTATGTGTGAATATCAAAGGATGACGGGAGCCTGAGCGGGGCGTGAGCCCTACTGCCCTGTTGTGTGTCGCCTGTCTCTGCACGGCAGAAGGGGGTCCACACTCCACGGAGCGAACGGCCAAGCGGTGGGAGGAGAAGGGAGCCCACTGCTGAAGAACGGAGGCACAGGAAGGTGAAGTAATTTGCCCACGGCTATTCAGAAAGCTACAGCACAACATAAATCCAGATGTTTTCCCCCCCGAGTCAGCTCCTTAACAACCTTGTTTTGCAGAAGATTTCACCTTGTTGCAACTGCCTGAGTATTCTCCAAGTCTTTTTTTTTTTTTTACTTTTAAGCAAATTGAGAGGCAGTATAGAGAAATGAAATCACTGAACATTACAGCACAGTTCTCCAACAAGCAGACCTAATTCTTTGGTGCAATGGCAAAATGCTCGTTAGACCGGGATGTTTCCGCCTCCCCTGGCAGTGGGTCCCAGCGACGCCCCCAGTGAGCCGCATCGGGCAGAAAATGGCCCGACCGGTGGATACAGCTGCAGCACGGAACTGCCAGAGGTGGAACTTGGGCTGTGAAGAATCAGATGCCTCCCTGGCACCGGAGCACTTACACCGTTCACGCTATTGCTGTTTACACAGATCCCAAAGGAAAAGTCTCTATGGCACAGCTAAAGAGGTGGGATTGATATCCACCAGCTGCAGCCCAGTGAAGTGACCTGCCAGTGTCATGGAGCAGAAGAGCCATTGTGCTGCTTCCTGCTGTATCCAGCAGCTCTTAATTCATTTTCATTTTAATTGAAATTAGAATAAGGACAAGATTGTGACATCTAAGGTGATCTGGTCTCTGGTCACAAATTTGCCAAGGCAATGGAAAAGTTAATAGGGGACATCCCCATTTCATCTGGATTTCTCTCCCCTCAGTGTATTAAAATATGACTAATTAGAGAGAAAATGTGCTACCGCTTTTTAAATTTGGGCAGGGCCATGAAAGCACAACTGCACCGGTCTGGACACTGTATCTGGGTGCAAGGGTGACCTGAAACTCAACAGATCAGCACCGAACCCCTTGAGATGGTCAGGACTGGGCCCTTCCCCTGACTTGCCAGCACGACACACAAACGCACCGAGCCTGGGGCATGGCATTTCACACTTGGAAAGCCCAGTGCCCTTTGCCACAAAGCTAACAGGGGCTTCACATGCTGTCAGGTTTTGTTTGCTGAAATCAAGCCCTTTCCAAGCACAGAACCGGCTCTCATAAGAAATGACCTGTCCGAGAAGATTTACTGCCCCAAGGACAGTCACCCCGCACAGGTCACTGCATTGCTCAGGGTGTTATTTATTTCTCAGTCACAGGAGCTGATACCGCGTGAAGCGTGTCAAACCCAGAGAAAGGCTCAGCAGAGAGACCAGCCACCCCAATGAAAATTCCATTTGTTACAGTCAATCTCACAGGCAGGACATACCACCCCAAGGAAGGTGATCAGCAATGTGAAAAGTATTAGTCAATCTGAGCTAGCACAGGTAGTTATTTATGAAAGATGCCAATACTGAGCATTTAGATGCACCTGGAATAAAATCTCCAGGAAAACCTCACAGCACGGATTTTTTTTGCGTTAAAGTTACTGGAAAAAAAAATGAAAAACAAAGAAAAATTGCAAGCAGTTGCATTATTCATTTGGGAACAACAGCCAATTTAGCCAAACAGCCACACACGCGCAGCGTGCGAGGACAGAGCGATTCGCCGGCTCCCTTTGCGCCCGGAGGGCGACAGCAGCGAATGCAGACCCCAAATTGCAAAATCTTTCTGCGGGATGACAAACCGAGGCGCACAAGGGAAAGGCCGGATCACAGCAGGGTGGTTCGGGACAGTGAGGGGAACATGCTGCTGCGCAGAGTCACTTCTTCCTTCCCCAAGCAGCCGCGTGCATCGGGAGCTGCGCACCGAGACTGAACAGCGGGATGGCCGGAGCCTGGGGCAGGAGCTGTCGTGCCATGAGCACTGATGATGCTACTCGGGATATAATCACTGCCTTTCCAGAATGAAAGCACGTTCTCCCTCGAGACCTCTCCCTCAAGGAGCTGAGTAAGAAAGACCAGGTTTTGGCCAGTGTCCCCTCCTTTTCTCCTTACGTCCCCAGTAATCAGGATTACGTCCTCCCTGACTGGAGTCCTGACCTTTGGGACAGCAGTTTATGAGTCATATAGGTTCTCATACATTTTACTTTTATTTATCTACATACGCATTTTATGATTGTACCCAGGTGAAAGCCCATATGGCAGTTAGCAAGCTGACTTATGCAACAGGAAATATATTTATGGAACAATGTTTTAATGACTGTCTCTATAATCTTGGCAGCATAGTGACACTGGCCTCCAGTACTGCTCTCAGCAATGTATTCTCCTTTTCCAGCTGACCAAGCCCGTGTGCTGGTCTCCCAGTGCCAACAGGTAGAGCTGCCCAGCTGGGCACTCACCAGGAACCTCCACCTCTGCTGCTGCTGACCGGGTCTCTCTTGGTGGCCCTCCCACCAAGCCCAAAGCAGGGATGGGAACACGCATCGCTCAAGCTATCTTCCCACCACACTTCATACCAGTCCTTCTCTTGCTGTGATCTCCAGAACAAACCTCCCTTGTCTCCAGAACAGCAGCATTTCTTCCCTGCCTTCAAAGTGCCTGGCAGTGTCCCGGAGACATCTCAAAACCAAACCTCTGCCAACAGTTATTCTCCCAGTGCCCGGCCGCAGAGAGGGGAGGTGAAAGGACCACCTGACACCTGCCCACAGCTCGGCAGGAGACCAAGGGCACGCTGCTGCTGCAGACCTTGATACACCTTTGCTTAACCAAGATGTCAGGGTGTTTGCAGCCCCAGCACGGGAGCAGGCGGCAACTCTCAGAGTCACAGTCCTTGCACTGGTGGACTTTGCAGTCCCAGACAACAACTAGGAAAAGCTCTTACCATCTTCGTTTTCATTGAAGGGTGGTGACTTGCTGGAGGTGTTTGCTCCCATGGTGTGTTCAGCCCAGGCTCAGCAATCTCCACTTCTCAGTTACGTTACCACCCTCGAAGCCGGTGCCTCCAGGACAGTGTTACTCCCACAGGTCACTCCCAGCAGACCTGGGCAATGTTCTGCTGGTGCATCCTGGAGAAGGCAGGAGGCAAAAATTCATCATCATTCAGGATTAAGAAGCATTTTGCAGCTTGCAAATTTCTCACTGGAGGTTCACTGCTCTGGAGACAAAACTGAGTATCAGGGAAAAAGCACATTATAATGGAGTTCACTAGAGAAACCCGGTAACATCATAACCTTGTAACCTCGACCAGGACTGCTGTCCACTCAGGGAAGTGTAGGAATAGACTAACAGACCAAAAGATCTGAGAATCTGGCTCATGTTTGCTGTATCATCCAGCATATTATATTTTGTAGCTTCAATGATGACTAATTGTAGTGAGGTCAATATCCAAAATAAATGGACATAGTGACTTGGCTAGATAAAATCAGAAAGGCACTTTTGATTACTAAGGTCTTGTGGAAGTGTAAAAGCTATATAAGAAGAATTTCAAAGTGTCAACCTTTTGATTTAAGCTGTTACAAAAGTCTTTCGTTTGGGACAAAATCATACTTTTTTTTTTTTTTTAATGAAAAGATTTCATGAAAAAATCAAGGTGTAGTTACCATTCAGTTTCTTCAAAAAAATTTTTTTATATGAACTATGAACAAAAAAGAAAACCTTCTGATTTATGGTTCAGTGCTGGCTGCGGTGGCTGGTTTTCCTCTTACACTGTGGAAGGACAGGTCTGTCCTTCCAGCAGACAACACAGGTCTGTCCTTCAGCAGACAACACAGGTTTTAATTTTCCAATTCTCCCCCAAACACGTATGTGTATACTGGAGCATATGATTCTGTGTAGTTTAGTGACACTCAAGATAGCTTGAATGATCTTACATGGGTACAGTAGCAGTTTTATTTTTAAAGTGTTTACATGCAAAGCACCTTTATATGCTTATTTTGATACTGACATCCCTGTGAAATACACATTTATTTCTTGTTGGAAGTACAAAGCCCTAGAAGAATAAAATGAGGGAGTAACAGTGCAGCACAATCTGGACTTTGTCCAGCCTGGACAAATGAAGCCTTACTCATTTTTCTCAGACCTACACTCTGGAAACACAGCTACTGAGTAGCTTCACTTTTTTACTTTAACAAAATCATGTTACTGAAGCACAAAAGGGAGGAATCGTTAAAAAAATGTTGGAGAAAAGAGAATTACTGGGACAGTCTTGGGAACTGGGACTGCCATGGCATGCTGTGGCCCCACACACCAGCATACTCAGCTCCTTCTCTCCAACTAACTTTATCTCCACCACTCAGCCAGGAACTCGGCTCTAACGTCACACCCTGGGTCAGGATGATTACCTTAAAGCAAGTGCCAAAACTTTCCTGAAGTTTAAAAGCAACCCCTGTATTTGAGTGTCTTCCTGAACCGGGCTGCAGTGATGTAAAATTCATCCCCAATATGACAATCCTGGGAATCCAACTGTGGATCACACTGCAGCAGCTGCTGAAGCGATGTATGGCTGACTGCAATAGTATCCATCCTCTCCATGTCAGCTGGAGTTGACAGGTCTCCCAGCACTCCTCAAAGTCTCTCCCAGCACTAGCAAGAGGCATCCAGAACAGATCAGAGGCAGCACGCAAGGCACTCTTCTCTCCAAGGCATTTTGCAATCTCAACTGCAACCCACCCACACTGCTGCTATGGTTTACATGGATCTCACTATTCCCAGCAAAGAGCAGGGGAGTTTGCATTTCTCAAAAGGGCAAAAAAACCCAGCACAAACTACTAAAAAAACTAAAATCTTAATTTCTCATCTCAGAGAACTTAAACAAGATCCAACAATAAAACAAATGAAGCAGCAAATGTTTGTGATCCCTATCAGTGCCTCTGAAGGGAACAGATCAAGCCTTCAGTCTGAAATAAAGCCACACCAGCACCTCTTTTCAAGCCCCAAAACTTACTCTTTAGAGGAAAAATACACCTTCAGATGTAATAGCCAAAAATCAGGTTCACATACTGATGCTTCTACATCACAGTGATCTTACTGGTGTCAACCAAGGTCAGCTGCTCAAGGAAATTTTCTTGTATAGGAGTCTGTGGCTTAATTTATTTTTGACAATGTGTCAATACATAAAAGCTATGAGGAAGGAGTACAGGTACTCCTTGAAGTTAAGCTTGAGTAATAATTGCTAGGATTTGTATCTTTATAAACTGTACCCAAGGTACAGTAATGATACATCTTTTCCTGTTTCACACTGCAAAGTCACAAAATGATTAAAATCATGACTTTTCCTCGGACCAAGATGACTAACGCTTCCATGTTAACTTCATGCTTTGTTGGACCACTCGTTGTTCCACGAGCAGCGTGGCAGCTCCACTCGTCAGTGGTCCCGGGGTCTTGTCAGCCAGGCTGGCAGATGCAGCAGAAATTTTACAGGCATGAGAAAGCAGCTGCTTGGGAATGCCCAGGCTCCCACCTCCAGAGCCAGGCAGCACACCCTCACATTGCCAAGTATATTTTATCCTCAACAGACAAACGCGAAACCAAAGCAAAGCAGAGGAAAAGCAACCACTTCAGTGCCATCGCCAGGGTTTTAGACTTGCGCTGTGCTCTCTAATGAGGAAAAGAGCTCAGCAGGACTAAGGAAGGGGTTAGACGTTTATACGAAAGGCGAGCAGCTAGTTGCACTGTTAGAATTATCACTGATGGGCGACTACTGAGCTGCTGTTCTGTTGAACAACTGAAACTGGGCAGTAATACAGCAACACATTACATTATCCTATCACTTTTGTCCCAGAGAAACAGAAGATTATTCCAACCCCTTCCGCAGCCACAACGAAGTTCAGGAAGGATGGGAGCGGGTACTATCGGTGTCACCTTTGGTTCTCCCCCCGCTGGAGCCCTTCCTCCAGCAGCGTGCCCATGCGACTTCCCAGCCTGAGACCGCTTACCCTACCGCAGGTATCGCCTGCAAACCCCACATACTCCAAGCCGTCGCCAACAGTAAGTAAGCCCCCCGACCCAAGCAGCGGGGGAAGCAGATCAACCCAGGGCTGCTGCAGACCCCGCTCTGGAGAGCACACCGAAGAAGGCACCTACCTCGGGGAGGGGAGGGGGCCGCGG